CCCCTCCTCATGCCGACGCTCTGGCGCCTAGGCCTGGTGACCCGTTTCCTGCGCCAGGCCACCAACGTGTACGCGTGCTCGAGCATCCTTGGACCGGGTCCAGTGGCACAGGTGGCATCGGTCGCAGAGGTAGCCAACCTTGCAGCTCTTCGGCTTGCCCGCGTACTTGCACGGCCGCCCGCAGCTGCGGGGATGCCCGATGGAGCCCACCGAGGGGAACGGGCTGATCGAAGCCGCGGCTGGCGCAGCCTCGACACCGCCCGCGATGGCAGTGGCTGATGCGCCACCTGATGACACGAGGCAAACGGGGGCCCGAGGGCAACGACAGGACAAGGCCAGGACAGGGACAACATCGGACCGGGAACATGATGAATCGTAGGTCTCTGAGATCCGGCGGCTCATGAGGATATGTTGGGCGCCGAGGCCGTTCCAGAGCGATCCTGAACGCTCTGAGAGCATTCCGGAACGCTCTGGAACGATTTGTCCCGGACTTGGGCCCGCCCGAAACAGGTACTGGACCCCCAGGCCTTCCTGGGGACTGGCTTCCCATCTTCTCGTCCTGGGGACTGGCCTTCCTGGGGACTGGCTCGCTGTCTGACCGCACCAACAAGGGGGCCCAAAAAGCCCGACGACGGCGGGCAACCTCTGGACCCCTTTCCCTGCCATGGCCATGAAATAATGTTGTTATTCCTGGGGGTAACGCGTGTTACCCTGGGGGGGGCACGGGGGGGGGGACCGGCAACGGGGGCCGCGGCGCCCACCCCCCGAGTCGCGCCGCCTACGTCGTCGTCGTCTTCGTCGTCGTCGTGTTCGTTTTCGTCGTCGTCCAAGCCCGCGGCGCCTGCGCACACAACGCGGGCTCTGTACACCACAATACCTTCGTGCACGAAACGTATTTCAAAAATGGTACGCGCGTGTGCACCACGGCGAACGAGCGTAAACACCACACCAAACGCGCCTGCCACAGCGCCTGTGTACATCACACACTGTTTGTGCACACCACGGCGCCCTCGTGCACCACGGCTGCTGCTTCAGCACCCCCTGCACGCCACAGTGCCTGATTACAGCATGAAGCTTGTGCATACCAGAGAGCGCCGACGGAGCCAGACTCCAGAAAATCGTCCAGCCTTGTTCCTCCTCCTCCTCCTCCTCCTCCTTCTCTTCCTCCTCCTCCTCCTCTTCCTCCTCCTTCGCTTCCTCCGCCCCCTCCTAGCCCCTTCGATCAGGGTCGGCGGCACCGGCCGTCGGGCCTCTCCAATACAATATCTGATCTGATTGTGTGTGTGTCTGTGTGTGAGTGTGTGAGTGTGTGAGTGTGTGAGTGTGCGAGTGTGTGAGTGTGTGAGTGTGAGTGTGAGTGTGAGTGTGAGTGTGTGTGTGTGAGTGTGTGTGTGTGTTTGTGGCCCAGGGATCGCCCGGATATGTTGGGCCCACTGCGCCTGCGCACGCCATGGCGACTGCGCGCGTCATGGCACCTGCGCGCACCTGGGCGCCCGTGAGCACGGCGCGGCTTGGGGGCGCGCGGAGCGGCGTCCGCCGAGGGGACACACGCGGGAGGAGCAGGAGGAGCAGCAGCACCAGCAGGAGCAGGAGGAGCAAAAGGAGCCCCACGATGGGGCCGACAGCTCGGGGCCCGCGCTCTTTTTCCAAGAGCACTGCCGAGGTGCACACCATCATCTAAAAAAAACGCGTTGCAGGAATCCGCGCGCGAGACCGCCAACGGATCTGCGTGACGCACCACGCACAGCCTGCGCACACCTATCTTATTATTCCTCCTCCTCCTCCTCCTCCTGTTCCTCCTCCTCCTCCTCCTTCTCCTCCCCCTTCTCCTCCTCCTCGTGTACGCCTCTACTGCTCCGACGGAATCAAAATCTGGGGTCGCTGGAGGCCGATTGTATCAGGTTCAAGAAGTGATCTGATTGTGATCATTGGCTTTTCTGGTCCGAGGAGCGCTTAGACATTTTGAGCCCACAGCGAATGTGAAACACGCCGCCTGTGTGCATCACAAAGCTTGTGTGCACCACAGCGCTTGTGTACACCACGATGGACGCGTCCTGTATGCGCAAGGGAAACGACGACGAGGAGGACGAACCATTACGGGGAGGAGGAGGAGGAGGAACAAGTAGGAAGATATGCGTGGCTATATTATAACCCACAACGCACTCTTACATCATAGCGACTTTGCGCACTACAGCGATTGTGTACATCACGGCGCCTGTGGACACCACAGGGCTTGCGATGTGTACACCACAATGCTTGTCTACACCCACTATGCCTGTGTACACCACAATTGCTGCACAAATGTGTGCGCCACATCGCCCGTGTACACCACAGTGCTTGCGTACACCATAGTGCACGCCCGCGCGCACCGCGGCTCAAGTCGTGCCCGCGTGCACCACAGGCCCTAGGCTACCCGAGATCACGCACTGGACCGGGCCGGGGCGTTACCATTACGGAGGGGGGCAGCGTAACACGTGTTATCCCTTGGGGGGATGGTCTCCCTGGAAAAGCCGACGACGGCGAGAAACCTCCACACCCCTTTCCAAGCCCAAACCCCCACAAGGCCGACGACGGCGAGAGAAACCTCTAGACCCAAATCCTTGCAAACATCCCGTTCTTCACGGTGGCCCACCTAGTGCCATCTCGCCTCCCGCGTCGGGCAGCACGCACACGTACGCCGGCTCCTCCCAGGAAAGCGCCATCTGTAAGGACATGAAACATGAGGAGAAGGATGAAGAGGAGGAGGAGGAGGAAGAGGAGGAGGGGGAGGAATTAGAGGAGGAGGAGGGGGAAGAGAAGGCGGAGGAGGACGAGGAGGAGGAGGAGGAGGAGGAGAACGAGGAGGAGGAGGAGGAGGAGGAGGAGGAGGAAGAGCGACCAGGGAGGAGCAGCAGCAGCACCAAGCAGAGGCAGTGGAACAGCAGCCCTCAGTTGCTTGAAGTTTCGGGCAATTCTCTCGCCTGTCTTGCATTCGCATGCAATACGAAAACAATATTCCGAGCTGTCCGAAGAGGAGGAGGAAGAGGAGGAAAAGGAGGAAAAGGAGCAGGAGGAAGAGGCGGGACAGGAAAGCGGCAGCGAGCGAAGCATTCTCATGCCATTAGAGCAAAGGGGGAGGAGGCGAGGAGGAGGAGGAGGAGGACGCCGACGGGGAGGAGGAGGAGGAGGAGGAGGAGGAGGAGGAGGAGGAGGAGGAGGAGGAGGAGGAAGAGGAGGAGGAGGAGGAGGAGGGGGGGAGGAGGAGGGGGGCCAGGAGCAGCAAGAGGAACCCCTCATAAGGCGCCCGAACGGCTCGACGTCCCCGGGAGGGGCGACGAGATCGTAGGCCTGGCCGCCGGGGTCGCACCGCCGCCGCCGCCGCCGACCGCGCGCCGCCCGTGCGCCACCAGCGCTGCCGTCGCCGCTGCTTCTCGCCGACGTCGGCGCTGGTGGCCCCCACGCACGGGTCGGGAACTCTTGCCTACCGTGTCGCGGCGGCGGCCTGGGCGACACGCCATGCCCTGCAGGCGGGTGGCGGGTCGCTCCGCTCCGCGCGGCGGAGGGGCGGGGAAAGGTTCGGGACGTGGCCGCTCGGGAACGGGCACGCGGTTCACGCACCGCGCCGAACCGTGGTGGGCCAGAACCCGCGGCGCGACAAGCTAAGCCAAAGTTCCTGACCAGGAAAGAATGAAAATCAAGTGTGCCGCAGAGCGACGTGTGAGCCGCAAATGGAGTACGATCGACGGTCAGCCAACGACGACACCGACGGCACGTTGCTGTTACGTGCATCGGAATCCCACCAGCCCTTTGGGCGTGAGTGGTTTAGAGAGCCCGCTCTGTTCTCAACCCCCTTCTTCCCTTTCAGGGAGGGGTTTACCCCTCCCCCTACCCCCTCCCCCTGGGCCTGGAGAGGGCGTTCCGCGGGTCGTTGGAGGGGTCTTTTTCGACTCCTGGGAAGGCTAAAATTCGACACCCCTCACGAGGATTCTGGCCCCGACGGGGGGAGGGAGAAAAATGCTCGCCCCATCTGTGATCGATCGCCCGAAAGATGGCCCCAAGATGCCTCCCAGACCCCTCCCAAAGAGCCCCAAGAGGCCCCAAGAGGCCTCCAAGAGGCCCCCAAGATGCCCCCAAGAGGCCCCAAGAGGCTCCCCCGAGGCACCCAAGACGCTCCTGGAAGCCCCTGGGGCCGCCAAGAGGCCCCCAAGACGCCCCAAACGGCCTCCAAGAGGCTCCCAAGAGGCCCGAAGAGGCTCCCCCAAGGCACCCAAGACGCTCCTAGAAGCCCCTGGGGCCGCCAAGAGGCCCCCAAGACGCCCCAAAAGGCCTCCAAGAGGCTCCCAAAAGACATCCCAAGAGACTCCGCGATGCATCCAAGAGGCCTCTGGCCCTTCTGCTCGTCCTCCCCTCCTCGTCCGCCTCCCCCTCTTCCTCCTCCCTCCTCCCCTCCCCCACCTCCTCCTCCGATTCCTCCTCCATCCTCCCCTCTTGGGATATGGCGGCATCCCCTGTCCTTCGTTTCTCTGTATGCTCCCACACTTCCCTGATCGAATCAAAGCAACTCCTCTGGGCATCATTGCTGAAAAGATGACCAACAAATCCCGACAGTCGGTACTCTTTGCTAAAGTGGCTGTTTAAGGATGGGCTGGTGGGGATTCGCGAAGCGTGAACAATTTGAGTGTAGCGCTGCCTTGCGCTACCGCGCGGGGAATAACAATGTGTGATGCCGGGTATTCGCACGCTCGTTCTCGCACCGAAAAGGGGGAACATCGGCCTTCCGCGACACTGTCAAAACCCTGGGGCGGCATCCTGGACGACCTCGAACGGGCGCGCGTTGGAAAGTTGAGACCCACCCCAGAAGCAACATCTGCATAACAGGCGAAGCTCTGGCCTCGGACTAGTTCGCGGCGCTGCTCTGCGAGGGGCAGCGGCGCCCTCGCCTCAAAGTGCGGGCCGCGGCCATGGAACGCGCAACCCCGGGAACGCCAGCGGGTGCGCCACTGCGACGACCGGTCCCGCGCCGCCGCCGCTCGCGCAAGCCCCCCATCCGGTGGCAGCGGGCGACGATTTCGCGCTCAGGGGCGCGCGCGGCCGCGCCCGCTCGCCACTGCAACAGAACGCCGAAACACGTCTTGGCCTGCGGCGAGCTGGCCTACGCACGCGGGAACAGACAGGCAGGCGGGAGGGAGGGGGGGAGGGCCGCGAAACGGCTGTAGCGCCCTCGGAGCCTGAAGCACATCGGGAGGTGTCAGGCCAGAGACGAGCTCAACTGCGCGACGCGGTCAGTGCGGGCGCAGGTGCATCGCACATCCAGGGCGCGGCAACGAGCCGTGCGGAGGTCAAGATCCACATCAGGGGGAAGAAGCCCAGGAAACGCTGCCTCCCTGGAGCTGCCTGGGCGCTTCGAGCCCAGCAAGCGCGGCCTGGGAGCTGCCTTGTAGTGGCGCTGCCGGGGAGATGCCAAAGCGCTGGACCAGGAGCTGCCACGCAGGAAAGGGCAGGCGGGAGGGAAGCAGAGGAGGGCCGCGGAACGGCTGGAGCGCCCCCAGAGCAAAAAGCACTCCGGGGTGTGCCTGGGTGGGGCTCAGATCATCGCAGCCATGCCGTGGTGGAGAGGCGAGGGCGGGGCGGGCTGGGGTCACACGCGTGCTTGACTAGAAGAAGAAACAACACCATGGACATAAACTGTAGGCAGGCGCTCCGCGCGGGTTTCGTGGATCTGCGCTGGACCCCCTCCCTGGCGCGCGGAACGCGCCAGGGGTGGCGCCGGAGGCGCCGCTGGGGGTGCCCAGCGAGGATCTAGAAATCCGAGCGGAGCACCAATGGTGTTTGTTTATTATTAATATAAGTGGTCTTCTTCTCCTTCTCATTACTACTACTACTACCACTACTACTACTACTACTACTACTACTACTACTACTACTACTACTACTACTACTACTACTACTACTACTACTACTACTACTACTACTACTACACTACTACTACTACGACTACTACTACTACTACTACTACTACTACTACTACTACTACTACTACTACTACTACTACTACTACTACTACTACTATGTGTGATTCTTACTACTACTACTACTACTACTAATAACTACTACAACAACTACTACTACTACGACTACTACCTACTACTACTACAACAACACTACTACTACTACTACTACTACACTACGACTACACTACGACTACGACCTAACGGACTACGACTACTACTACTACTACTACTACTACTACTACTACTACTACTACTACTACTATACTACTACTTCTACTTCTACTTCTACTTATACTACTACTTCTACTACTACTACTACTACTACTACTACTACTACTACTACTACTACTACTACTACTACTACTACTACTACTACTACTACTACTACTACTACTACTACTACTACTACTACTACTACTACTACTACTACTACTACTACTACTACTACTACTACTACTACTACTACTACTACTACTAACTACTACTACTACTACTACACTACTACTACTACTACTACTACTACTACTACTACTACTACTACTACTACTACTACTACTACTACTACTACTACTACTACTACTACTACTACTGTGACTGTTATGAGACTCAATTGACGGTAGCATGCACGTCGCGTGCAGCTGCCGTCGGCTTCCCGCCCCATCCACCTGCGAGGGCGGCGCCGGGGCAGGCGAGGACGAGGCTATTGATGGGCCGATTTTCCACCACCACTACCATAGGTAGGAGAGGGAGGAGGAGGAGGAGGAGGAGGACGAGGAGGAGGAAGACGAGGAGGAGGAGGAGGAAAGGAAGGAGAAGGATGAGGAGGAGGAGTAGGGAGAGAAAGAGGAGGAGGAGGCGGAAGAGAAGGAGGAGAAGGAGAACGGGGAGGAGGAGGCGGAGGAGGAGGAGGAGGCGGAGAGGAGGAGAAGGAGGAGAGGGAGGAGGAGGAGGCGGAGGCGGAGGATGAGGAGGAGGGGAAGAGGAGGAGGAGGAGGAGGAGGCGGAGGAGGAGGCGGAGGAGGAGGCGGAGGAGAAAAAGAAGGAGAAAGAGGAGGAGGCGGAGGAGGAGGAGGCAGAGGAGAAGGAGGAAAACCTCCCCCGTCTTACCTATGAGAGCGGTGGCGAAACATTGACTCATCAGCTGTGGGCAAAGCCGGCTTCGGGTGCGCAGCGGCCGGCCCAAGCGGCGCGGGCTCCACGGCCAGCGGCACGGGCCTCTTGCCACGATTGGGCCGCCCCCTCCTGGCCTCGGCGGGCATGGGGGGAGGTAGGGCGAAGGACGGAGGAGAAGGAGGAGGAGGAGGAGGACGGAGGAGGAAGAGGAGGAGGAGGAGGAGGACGAGGAGGGGGAGGGGGAGCGAGGAGGAAGGGGAGAGAGGAGCATAAACAGTATGTGGCGATATGCACGCCCCACCCACACCAACCATCGACTCCCCCGAATCGATGGGGGGCGGGGGTAGGGTCCAGATCTCGCTGCGTACTCGGCAAATTCCGAACCCTACCCGCGCTGGCCCATCGAGTCGGGGCGAGGGTAAGGTTCGAATTTCGCCGCCGAAACTGGAGGTACTCGCGGACCTCCAAACAGGTCAGATGATGTCACTGCTTGTTTAGATAGGGGCAAGGGACATACAAATAAATAGACACACGTCCCATGATTCCTCATATGTTCTCATCTGTTGTTGGTATTCGTCTTCCCCTCCGCTTCCCATGTTTTCCCATCTGTTCACGGGAACCGACGGTGAGTTCTGACTGCGTATGTTTGTCCCTCCTGACCACTGCCTGCTCCCTGGGGCCTCCGGGAGGGCGAGGGTGCTCCCGAAGGGGCTCGGCAGCTCCCAGGGAGAGCGAGGAGCCTCACACAATGGCTCCCCGGAACCCAGGGCTCGAGCTCAACACTTGTTTCTCGCTGTCGTGGTCTAGCTTTGTGGATGCCACGACACTGGACACCCTAACCATCCTATCATTGAGTGTAAAATGTGGTTTAAACTGTCGGGACATTGTCTAAACATGGTTTGTAACATGTTGAAGACATGTTTGAAACATCTTTTAGACAGCTGGAAACTATTTGGCAGTATGCTTCCTTTCAATTGATCGTCCTCCACAAGTCTAGTTCTTTTCGTTTCCCCTCGCTGTCTCCGTTCGGCCCTTGCTGCGAAACGAAATCCACACGAAAACGGACCACGAAATGGTCAAGGCACCGTTTATGGAGTAGGGACCGACCGTCCCGGCATTCCTTAAGTCCTACCGCAACATGTTCTTAGAACCTCAAATGTTCTAAGAACAAAACAATGTTCTTAGTACATAAACCCGATGTGTTAAAATAGTACAAGATCAACCAGACATGTTCTAATAACATGTCGTGGAAACCACAAAAGGTTATTTGATAATGGTTTGGTAGGGCTAAAGCCGGGGCCAGGACGCTTCGCCACTGCTTGAGTTTAGCTCGAGCCCTGCCAGATCCCTCCCGTGGCCCCCAAAGCACACATTCTCCGAGCAGCGCCCAGCCGCGGCGACGACCCCCCCCCCCCCCCCCCCCCGAGTCGCCGGCGAGCCAGGGGGGGAAATGAGCAGGGGCGGGCCTTCCCAGAAGGCTCGGGCGCCCCCCCCCAGGCCTTCTGGGACATTCTCTGAGCCTGCCCCGATGACGCGGAAAGCTTCTCTGAGGGCGCGATAGGCTTCTGAGAGAGGAGGGGGAGGAGGAGGGGGAGGTGGAGGAGGAGGAGGAGGAGGAGGAGGAAGAGGAGGAGGAGGAGGAAGAGGAGGAAGAGGAGGAGGAGGGCGCGAGGGCTTCTGATAGAGGAGGAGGAGGAGGAGGAGGCAAGCGTACCACGACGAAGACGACGCCCCCTACCCGCGGCGCTCCTCGGCGCAGGGCGCCGTGAGGTGCAGCTCGCGGACAGCAGCCGCTGCCGCATCAAGATTCACTCGAGGGTGAAGGAGAGACGCAAGAGGGAGGTGACGGAGAGAGTGATAGACAGGGCAGGCAATGAACACTTCCTCGAGAACAGGAACGGTGCATATCGGGATCCCCCATCTGGCCAACGGATCAGAAGACAACTGCCTATAACGCAGAGCAGTTGAGATAGACCAGGCAAGGCGAGGACAGCTGGCATAGTGCAACTGACGATCGGGCTCCCCCTCGCATCCAAAAATGCAGCCCCTACGAGCACCTTCATTCAGGATACGATGGGAGGTGAGCCACGCCCCGCTCAGAGCTCGAATCCACGACCAGGCCCAGGAAGGCGGGACAGACCTGAGAACACTCTGGATGCTGGGCCAATCAATGGCCTGGATCACCGCGGCCTGCTCAGGCCACCACTTCAGGAGACGGGGCGCGAACAACTCTCCGAGACCGTGCTGCGGCCAGCACTGGATGCAGGCAAGCTTGGCGGCACGCTGCGGCTTCGCATCATTTACACAGCAGGCGGCGGCAGCAGCAACGTGCATTGAGCCTCCAACACCACGAACAGCATCATGCAGAAACTCGACAAAGGCACGGCACTTCCAGTGCCGCGGATACCGTTTCCCAGCAGGCAACACTGTCAGGCGGCGCTCGTCCAATTCCTGAGACATGGGCGTGCCTGTCATGCGCACTAACCAACGATATATCCGATCATATTCAGGTAATGTCGACTTGGCCGTCCGAACGAGCGATGCAATGCTGAGCACCTCCAGCGGGCGCACCCGAGGTGCATTCCACTCATGAAGATACGCCGAGCCCCGTGCACGGAAAGCACCAAGCGGTAGGCGGAACGCCTGAGCCAAGGCACCATTCTCGGCGTCCTTCAGCTCTGTCGGCAACGGCAAAAACTGCATGACGTTTCTGAGGACAGACACTGCACGCGTCGAGTACAGCACGGCCGAAGATGATGCAGGAGTATTACCAGCACCGATTGCCGCTGCACGGTCACGATACTTCTGGCGAGGGAGACTCCAGGAGTCGATCAGCTCGGCCGCGGGACCAATCCACATGCCCAGGTAAAACAGTTCAGCTTCAATTCGGAACTCGGACCACTCGGGAATGAACATGTTCAGAAACTTTTGGACTTGCGCTTTGAGAGCAGGGGTAAACGAACCTGAGACTGGAGTCAAGACACATTTAGCAGGCTTGAGGCACAGGTGCGCGTTCAGCTCAACGGCTTTCATCACGCGCCTAAGCCGCAGCAGCAAACGAATGCCCGACAAGGCTCCACCCAAGTCGCCCGCACACGCACGGTTGATCCCCTTCCGCGGGATCTCGAAACTGCGGTTGAGGTCTATCAGCGCCAGCGTGAGGGCAATCGCGAAAAGCGGGCCTGAAAGAGCACACCATTGGATAATCCCAGAACGAATCCAGAAAGCATGAACCAGGACCCCCTGAACCGACATCACACCTTCGATACTCTCATATAGCGTCTCGACGAACATCAAAAACCCGATAGGACATCCCATTTTCCTCAAAACGAGAACCACGAACTGCTGGGGCAGGCTCGGGAAAGCGCGGCCGCAATCCAAGGCGCACAGCATTGGACAGCGGTCGTCAGCTTCAGGGCGGGCAGAGTGCACACGAGCGAGGGCGTCCACCTCTAAAATGTTCTGGCAGAAGCTCCTGCCTTTCGTGCGCCCGCGTTGGCCCTGAGGAACGAATCGATCGAGCGGTTTTCTGATCGCCGTGCCCATGGTCGCAGTGAGCAAGTTGACGCTGGTATTTCGAAGTCCGAGAACGCGAACCGACGAAGCTTCCTTATCGCAGTCGCCCTCTCTCGTGTCGGCACTGGACTCTCCGTTCGGCAAACAGGCTTGCAGGGTGGCACTCTCAGCGACGGGGATGCTGCATCCAGACATCATCCACCAGAGCAGGTCACGCAGCAGTATCAGTCCACTCGGGTGGGCCAGCCAGGCCGCATAACATAATATGTCAACACCTGGCGCTGAGTCGCTAACCGAGCGCGCAGCTCTCTCCAGCATAGCAAGCGACGGCGGCGGGCAGTCGGCGAAGTCCACGGGGCGAACGAAGCGGTCGCAGCACGTGCCGGCAGTCTTCGCTGGCCATGCTTTCCTTGAAATGATCGGCCCCCCCAATGAGCAGCAAGAGCAGCACTACGATCAAGTCCCCCCCCCCCCTTCCACGAGCGCGGCGCGAAGCGTGAGTCGACGAGCAAACGGCGCCCATATCCCCGCCCTCCTCTCAATCGCCTGTAGCTGTTGACGTTCCCTCTGGCGAACTCCCCCCCCATCAGCACGCTCGAGACGGGCGCGGGCAGCAAGACGGTCGAGGTTGGCAGCCTCAAGGTGCACTCTTTTAGTCCAGCTCTGAAAAGCAGCAGGGTGAATAAGTGAAACATGACCGCCCTCGATTCGGACAAAACCAGCTGCGGCGGCATGAGAGGCGAGAAGTCGACCAGCTGCGACCGCATCCTGACGCCATACTGCACGAGCCAAGGCACGTGCGAGCAACAATAGCGTGCGGGGATCCGACGGCTTGCGAAACATCAATAAGTCCCTCGCCTCCCTCCCAGCTTCCTGCATCAGAATCTTTTGTCTCAGCGAGCGCCTCGGCGGACACATGGCCATCAAGTGGGCCTTCTCCGCATCCAAAAACTTGGCCAGGCATTGCTTATACCCCCGAGAACTACACACATGCTTGGGGATCAGGCGTTCTCCAGGGTCCTGGGGCTTCCGTTGGCACATTGATATAGTAAGAGCAGCATGATCACTAACTTTGGCACGATGGAGTTTTTCAGGCAGCCCTTCCACCCGAGCAGTAGCATATACCTGAGCGGGCACCCATCCAGGCCACGAGCACCAGAATCGGTCAATCGCAGCAACAGCATCCGTCTGTTTGCCATAGTGAGTCGCATTCGCAGGCGAGATCCCAACCAAACTATCTAAAGCATCAGCCCACCGCGGAGCCTTGGCGTGAAGTGGGCGAGCGATCCTCTGAGCCTCCGAAGGCTGCGCAAAAGAATTTTTTTCCTCGGACGCGAAGTTGAATTCACCATGCACTACAACTAAAACGGATTCAGGAGACGATTCGGCCAGGGTCCGATCCCGATTTATCCGATTGCACACGTTCCTTACTTGTTCTGAGGTTAGATCATGATCATGCACATTATAATGAATTAATTTCGTGGCTTGGCTTGAAGACAACACGGAGCACGCGACCATCGATAAGAGAGAGCGGGGTGGCAGTGACGCCAGGGGGGAGGGAAGGGGAACGATGGCCTCTGGTCAAAATCCCTGGGACGACAGTGGCAACCCCACCGCGGATTCGTCCAGCGCGGTCCTCTCCGCAAGAACTCGAGTAGACTAGAGCACCAGGGAGGGCACGTCTCAGGAAAGGAAAGAGCTGTGCCTCACACTGGTGAATCTCCTGCAAAGCGGTGACTGTGGAGCCCAGTCGGAGCTTCTGGAGATAAGACAACTTCTCACAAGCGCGGGCCCCCTCGTATTGCAGCAATGCAAGTGTGTTCCACGAAGTGAAACGCAAGCCGCCAGCCGTGGCAGCGTCACACAAGAACGGCAGCTGCGAGCGCGCGAAAAGCGCAGCAAATCGGCTAAAGGCACCACTCAGGCTCCCGATCTGGCAGAAGAAGTTCCCCCACTGCCCCAACCAGCTCGGCCTTGGTCTTCCCGTACTTGGCGACGGTGCCAGGATTCCAGAAAAGCTTCGTCTCCTCACGGCCAGGGAAGACCTCGATCTTGCACAGCGCATCCCAGCCGAGCGAGAGCCAACCTCGGCCCCTGTCAAAGAATATATTCTGCTCACGGCCGTAGTTCTCCTGCAGCTTTGCGCGGAGCCTACGCCCCGTGATCTCCGTCTTGATCAGCTTCGGATTCTTGTCACTAGAGATGTGCAAGCGGGCGGTGCAACCTGCCTGCGTTGGTACTTCAAGTTCACGCCATTGGTTTGCCGAGATGCGCAATCCGCTGAGAATATGCTGCACACGCCTGGACGCCAGGCCTGTAGCCCCCGAGACCTGCAGCGCGAACATCTTGGCGATCGGATCAGGAGACGAAAGCGACCACATGTCGGAAGTGATCTGCATCTCCTCGGGCCACGGAGTGATGACACTGCGCACCTCCTCGCACTGGGCGAGCCTGCCCGCTTTGATCTTGACCACCGTCGCGTCGATCTCCCTCTCGAAGGAGGCGCTGCTTGCCAACGCCTTCGGCGCGGGCTGCTGCGAGTTGGCGACGACCAATGCCTGCTGTAGCTGCTGGATATGAGTCTGCATGACCCCCAGAAGACGATCATGCTCTGAAACTCGCGCATCAACCTGTTGAATATCGCCACGTATCTCGTCGCACCGCTGCATGACCTCTGTGCGCAGCGCGTCGAGCTTGGGAGTGACCACCGCCATGATGTGCTGGTCCATCTTCCTCGGGAACTCGTCCACGTCCTTCTTGCATGCCGCCATGCACTTGTCGAAATTCGATTTGAAAGCGTTGGTGATCGTCTCCGTCTCCTCCGTGATCGCAGACTTGACGGACGTGCCCACGATCCTGTCCACCTCCTGCTGCACATTGTCGAGGCGCTCGTTGGCCACCTCGAAACATATGGTCCGCACGTGCGACTCGTCGTAGTCCCCCTCGCAGCCCGACTGGCCCATGCAGTGCACCTCAGGCTGCGCAGGAGTACTCCCAGCAGAACCAGTAGCAGCACGACGACCACCAGGCCGCAGAGTCTTGTTCGGCTTGATGACCCTCTTGCCAGGCGTGCCAGGCGTCGCGGGTCCTCGTGGTGTGGCGGGCGAGGCGCCATTTCCTCCTGCGGACATGGGCGAGACTGCTGGAGTGCGAGACTGAAAGCTGCTTAGGTGCGGGAGCCCAAATCCCGCAGTGAAGGCTGCAGAAGGGTGCCAGGCAGAACTGCCTGCCGCGGTCTAGCGGTATCATCCCTTTCTGCCTTGGGGCTGGAAGCCCCCAAAGACATGGGTCTTGAGCCAAAATGGCTACGGAGGAGGAGGAGGAGGAGGAGGACAAGCCTTTTGCTTCTTGCTTCGCCCCCTCGCTCACCGCCGACGTCCCGCTGGGGCGACGAGGGGTCCCCGAGGGCCCACCGCCGTTGTCTCGGCCCGCCCTCCTCCTCCTCCTCCTCCTCCTCCTCCTCCTCCTCCGCCTCCTCGTCCTCCTCGTTCTCCTCGTCCCCTTCTTCTCCTCCTCCTCCTCCTCCTCCTCCTCCTCCTCCTCCTCCTCCTCCTCCTCCTCCTCCTCCTCATCTCATCATCATCCTCCTCGTCCTCCTCCCTCTCTTCCTCCTCCTCCTCCTCCTCCTCCTCCTCCTCCTCCTCCTCCTCCTCCTCGTCCTCCGCCTCCTCCTCCTCTTCCTCCTCCTCCTCGTCCTCCTCCTCCTCCTCCTCTCCTCCTCCTCCTCCTCCTCCTCCTCCTCCTCCTCCTCCCTCCTCCTCCTCCTCCTCCTCCTCCTCCTCCTCCTCCTCCTCCTCCTCCTCCTCCTCCTCCTCCTCCTCCTCCTCCTCCTCCTCCGTCCACCCACTCCTCCTCCTCCTCCTCCTCCCTCCTCCTCCTCCTCCTCCTCCTCCTCCTCCTCCTCCTCCTCCTCCTCCTCTCCTCCTCCTCCTCCTCCTCCTCCTCCTCCTCCTCCTCCTCCTCCTCCTCCTCCTCCTCCTCCTCCTCCTCCTCCTCCTCCTCCTCCTCCTCCTCCTCCTCCTCCTCCTCCTCCTCCTCGCCGTAGCCATTTTGGCTCAAGCTGCTCGGGCCGCGGCGGGCGCGCGCCTGCCCGCTGGCTGCTTGGGATGGCGACGGTTGTGCGCGGCTGGGTGACCGCCGAGCTCGCGCCACTGGTGCGCGCGGCTGCGGCAGGCGCGGCGGAAGGGGGCGGCTCCCGCCACCTCGTGGCCGCGGCGGTCGCGGCCGCCATCCGCACCGGTGGAGATGTGCTCGATCCCCAAGCTGCTGACCCGGAGGTGGCGGCCAGAGAGCGAGTCGCCAGGGCTCACTTGGTCGAGAAAGTGACGGCAGGACGCGCTGGCGAGCAGCCGCGCCACTCAGGAAGCAGCAGGGCCTTCAGGAACTGGGCCATGCACAAGGACTTCGGGCAGGGCGTCGAGTCGGTCCCGTCCTCGGCCCAGGAGGCCAAGGGCCGCGCCCGCGGGCCCAGGCGGAAGAAACGCCAAGATCTCGACGACGACCTGCAGCACCAGAACCAGTTCGTGAAAGAGGGCGACCTCAAGTACCTCGACCTCGCGAGCACTGACACGCCCAGCATCGCAGACGAGCAAATCCTCGGCGAGACCAAGTTCGAGGAGAAGTCCAGCGTACGCGAGCTTCTGGCCGAGAATATCCTAGAGATGGACGCGCTCCAGCGGCAGTACCAGCAGCACATCGGCCAGAAGGAGTCCGTGATCTCCAACCTCCTGGCTAAGATCGCGGAGCTGGAGCGCACCGTGCAGGACATCAAGCAGCAGGCCATCGGCTCCAAGGTGCCGAAGAACGAGCCCCAGGCCGGTCCCAACGCGAAGGAGAGCGACGCGGCCAGCGCCGCCAAGACGAGGGACCAGGAGGAGGACGTCGGCGTGCACCCGACGGGCGGCATGAACGCGGAGGGCGCGCTGCGGCAGTCGGTCAACACGTCCATCGTCAGCACGGTCACCAACACGGGCCTCGGAAAGACCATCGCCTCGGAGGAGCTCGATCAGGCCACTGACGTGGTGAAGAAGCTGCACGGCCTCTCCAGCGTGGTCCACGAGGGGCTGAGCGACACTACCTCCGAGAGCAAGCAGATTACTGCCTTCGAGGGCGCGCCCTGCGCCGCCATCCCGACGGGCCCCCAGGAGGACGGGGGCATGTACCTGACGGGCGGCAGGAACACGGAGGGCGCGCTGCTGCCGTCGGTCGTCACGTCCAGCGCCACCACGGTCATCAGCACGGGCCTCGGGAAGACGTTCGCCTCGGAGGAGTTCGTTCAGGCCACCGACGTGGTGAAGGCGCCAGGCGACAAGGACCCCGAGGGCGATCGGCAGGACAACTTCGAGGACCTCCACGTGGAGGCGGGCACCGACGGTACGAGCATGGAGGGCGTGCTGTCGCAGTCGATCGCCACGCCCACCAAAGCGGGCCTCGGGAACGTGAAGGACCTCAAGCACGATGGGAAGTTGAGCTCCAAAGCCATCCTCAACTACGACGTCAAACACGAGAATGAGAAGTACCACATCGGCAACTTCGAGAGCAGCTTCGTGAGCCTCTCGGACGTAGCCGTCGACAAAGACATCCCGCCTTGGGAGCGGGAAGAGCCTGAAGACGACCTGCGCACACTGGAGAGCAAGCGGCGCTTCCGTGAGCGGGCGCAGCGCCAGAGGCTCTCGGCGCGGTAGCGCGCGAAGCGTGCCGTGGACCCCATTGCCCGTGGGGCTGCGCGTGGTGCGAAGATAACCGCGCCTCCCCTGGGGCTGGTCCTGGCGGCGCCGCGTGGCGCAGTGCAAGCACTGTTGAAGAGTAAATTGTCCTGGGGAGGGCCTGTCGCAGCGTGCGAGGGATGTCGCCCCCCTCGGCACGGCTGGCAAAAAATTTTGATGGCCCTCCCCAGGCCCCAGCTCATCTCTCGACGGACAACGTCCGATTGCTCCACTCCACTCCACTCCTCCTCCCTCTCCTCCTCCTCCTCCTCCTGCTCCTCCTCCTCCGATGTTGGACCCCTTGGGCCTCCTGCAGCGGCCAGCCCCCTGCTGCGGGCGGCGCCGCGCGGCCCGGGCACCGGGCGGCAGCAGCAGCAGGCTGGCACGGGTTGACGGTCGGGGCGGGCGAAAGGGCAGGATAGCATAGGGTAGGGTTAGGTCGGGCATGTCCCCCTACAGGGGGATTTGACGAAAAATTAAAAATAGTCCGAAAATACTCCCAAATGGTCAAAAAATTGTAGGAAAATCGTCCCCAGACTATTTTGACTAGTTTTGAACATTCCTCCTGTAGAGGGACAGGCCCGACTTAAGGGTAGGCAGAGAATCAGCTCACGTGGCTGGTTTTCCCACCGCCTTCCGGCGCCCGGGAGGCGCCCGTGGCTCGAGGAAAGGGCCCAGCGGCGGGGCCGACGCTGGCTGCGTGCAGCAGATCTCGTACCTTAGGTCGGGCCTGTCCCCCTGCAGGGGGATTTTGGACGAATGATACGAAATACGCAATAAATGCTGAAAAGATGCCCCCAAATCCTCCAAAAGTAATCCCCAGAGTTTTTTTTTGACTATTTTTGAATATTCCCCCTGTAGAGGGACAGGCCCGACTTAACTCGTACCCTCCCCCCCCCTCGCTCCCCTCGGGGATGGACAGACCTCCCTTTAGCAAAACGTGGTTTAGTGAAAACGACCTGAGGCCCAAACCTGGCGGGCGCAAGCCTGGAAAATATCGGCCACGGCGCCCTCTCGAGAACCGAAAACGGACAATTCACTAATCGACGTGTCACTGTTGGGGGTTCTGTCCACCCCTCGCTCCCCGTCCTGCCCTGTCGTCCGGCCCGGGAAGGGCAGGCCTGCCGCGGAGAGCGACTGCCTCAGGCTCGCGCGGCTGGTCCTCCCGGCGAGCCC